AATCCTCCCCAAACAGCCTCAAATCCACCCCAAAGCACAAAATGAGGCCACGGGGCCAGCCCGGCTCATGCACAGCTGCCACTTTACCTCGGGGCAGTTCTGCCTACAATGGGATTCATTTTGGGGTTTTTGGGGGGCCTGAGCTCGCGCAGAGCCCAGTGCCCTTCTCCTGTCACCCCGTCTGGCAGGGCCAGGGCAGCAGCATGAGGCGCCGCATCGGCCCCCCTGCATGGCCTTGAGCCTGGGCGTGGGGAAGGGAAGCTCATGGAGAGCTTTCTGCCCTTCCCCACAAAGGCTTTTTGGGAAGATGGGACCCACAGCATCCACTGTCCCTCACCGTGGCTCCCGCTCCGCCGCAGAGTGTTCACCCTGGCCGGTCTGCAGGAGGAAGGAGCTCACCCCATGCCCCTGCGCCCCCGAATGCTCCTCTTCCCCTGCATCTTTGCTCCACCACGAAATCAGCCCAAACCAACTCAATTTGATGCACTCCAAGAGATGGAGGCAAAGTTGTCGTGGCCCAGGGCTCCGGGAACAGCACTGACTTCATTTCATTCCTCCTTGAAAGATTATTTGGAATTCAGCCTCGCTGGGAAGGTGGCATTGCCTAGCATGGACTGAAGTCAAGGTTAACCATTTGCATGAAGCACCACGATAATGCAAAGCAATTTATTGCTGCTTGAGCCTTGGGAAGCAAGTGAGAAAGCCAACCTCCAAGGGCCCAAAAAAGCAAAAAAATTAAGTGCTCGGTTTTCCCATTAACCATGAAATGAATACACACGAGGCGTGAAAAGCCTGGTCTGGTCTCATCCTCACATCCCAGCCAGGTACCTGAAAAAAAGCCGCGCTGGAGCAGCGCTGAGGTGGGCACTGGCACATGTTGGCCTCCTGCCTCCTGCCCTGGGGTTCGCGCTGGGAAGCCTCCATTCCCCGTGGGAACACGGCGCCACTGGAAAAAATAACAATAATAACAGCGTCACGCGCGTGACTCACTCCTGATTGATTTTGGGTACCTGGCAGCGTTTTCTGCACCCGGAGCAGCGCTTGTATGGGCGGCGGGAGAGCTGGCAGTGAGACCTGGCCACCGTCCTGGCGTGTCCAAGCCATCACACTGTCCCATGAGACCAGGCACCATCAAGTGTCCTGAAACCTGTAGAAAGCAGAGACTATAAAAAGATCCTTCAACAACATGCAATTGAACCCAGCAATTGCTAAATCTTTCCTTCCTCCCCCCCCCCCCCATCGTGCCCCTTGGCAGAAGCCACTGGATTATCACAGCTTTGTTTCCTCCAAAAGAGACTAAACCAAATATATGTTGCTGACAGGTGGTTTGACGCTGTATTCCCCAGCTTAAACGGCGTTTTGGAGCTAAAGAGCCACGTGCGTGCGGGTAATTCCTGCAGACAGCGCTCCCCAATGATCACCCCTGTCTGCGAGACGTAAATCACACCCGGGCACGAGAGCTTCCTTCTTGTAAGGCAGCCTTAGTCAAGGAAACGCCTGAATTGCAACTGGGAGAGGAACACTTTCCACTATTGCTCCACATAGTTTATCTAGGTTTTTTTGCTCCGTAAACAACAGTCAGCAGCAGCTAATCTCCTTCCGATGCTTTTGGCAGGGCAGACGAGGGTGGGGAAATTACGGTGTCTCTTACCTTAATGAGCCCTTTCCCCTGCAGTCTTAGGTCTTGCTCCCTGATAAGAAATACTATGAATCAGTCTGAAATAGGGCGCTGTTTCCAGGTAGGAACAGGTTATATTTTAACCCTGAGGAGCACTGGCCTGAGGAATCCCTTCCGCTCCTGCTCCCTACCCCGTGCCAGGGGCCACCTTGGGATTCGAGGAGCTGCTGCAGCCAGAGGTGCCCAAGCAGAGATGCACAGACTGAGGACTTTCCCTGTGTGCATGAAGAAGGGACAAAATTATTCATCATTTGTGGAGGGAAAAATGGGACAGGGAGTCTGGCCTGGCTTGTGGTTTTGTCGTGTCACACGTCCCACCGGCAGGAAGATGAACAGCCTGTGTCTCTTGGGTGGTTTCCTACCATCCCTGCCTGGTGTGGTGAGTAAGAGTCATCCCTCGCAGGACATCAACAAAGTGAACTCGATTTACAAAGCCTTCCTTTGAAACAAGTCGCTCTTGTGCAATGATTCCCTTGCTGCTTCCCAGGGCACAACCACTCCTGGTGCACCCCCATCCTGGTGCCAGAGCTCCCCTGGGGTTCTCATGTCCCCCCAGTGCTCCATGAGCCCCAGACTCCATCGCAGCAGAGAAGCAGCAAAGGGCAAAGCAACCTGTGCCGTTAAAAGCACAGTTTGGCTGCAGGCTGCCCAGGGCACGCTCATTTAGACACCGACAAGTCGATGCGAAATACACCGCCGCAATCGGCACGCGCGTTGCATCACTGCGAGCAGCTGGATAAAACGATGAATCAGACCCCCAGCTCTGCGTCCTCACCGGTCTGCAACCTTCGTTGTGGGGCCTCTGCACCGTAGGACAGCTTTTAAACAGCAGAAATACAACGCACCCCCAGAAACAGAACGAGAAACGGGAAACCACCTGCACAAAATGAAGTGAACTGCTCCCGGCTTTCACAAGTCCCTGCCCAAAGAAGGTGCCTCCAGCCCCATGGCCATCTGCCTGGCACCCCGCAGCTGATTAGGAGGACCCGGGTTTGCTTATCGCGGCCTCTCACCGGGCAGGAGGTGCAGGACACCACGGCTGCACCCACACCGATAAGGCAGGAGTGTCCTGCTGGGAGGCGGACACCTTCTGGCAACCACCAAAATGAGGGTTTATCTACAAGATCCAGCGGGATATATATATCTTTTTTTTCGCTTTCCAAATCTACATGGTCTCTAACAGCTGAGCAACACCTTGGTTTTAGGGTGGGTTTTATCCTTTTCACCATCACCGGCAGCGGTGCGGAGCCATGGGTGCTGAATTGGGGGTGAGGAGGGGGAACGCTACTTCACCTCCAGCGGCGTGATGCCGCGTAGCAGCAAATTACAGGACATTTTTTTTTAATGTAGGTGTTCAGCAGCAGGTAATTGTATTTTTAATTGTGGGAAGGAAAAGGCACCCGCTTATGGCACGGTGTAAAGCGTTCGCTTTAGAAGAGGGATCAGAGGAAATGTACGTCGTTAAGGGCATATGTTTGCAATCTTATTTGCAGTACAACCAGCCTGAACTTTATGTCCCCACAGGCTTTTTTTTTTTTTCTTTTTTTTCTTTGCTAGCTTGTGTTGCCAGATGCTTACGCTGGAGGAAGGACGGTTTTCCTGCGGGAATTGCCAGTGAGCAGCACATCCCAGAACGCCGATTCCCCATCCCGCATGGCGTGGATGCAGCCCCTTCCCAGCCCACCACCAGCCTCAGAAATGTTCAAAGCCACAAAATAAATTTGAAACAGTGAGGCTGGACCCCACTCCCCAGAGCTGTCCTTCGGTCAAAGGCAGCGTCAGCCCCAAAAATCACCCTGGAAAAAGGTCTCTTGGACACTAGCCTGGATTTTCCTGCCCACCCAGGCACATTGTGTGATGCTCCTGGGACAAGGAACCTGATGAAGTTCAACAAGGGCAAGTGTTGGGTGCTGCCCCTGGGGAGGTTGAACCCCACGCACCATTACAGGCTGGGGGCTGACCTGCTGGGAAGCAGCTCTGCCCAGAGGGA